GTTATTTTTTTATATATATTAAAAATTTGTATAATATCTTTAGCAAGTTTTCTGCCTTACTTAGTTTATGTGTTCTGCCATCAGCTGCAAGCAGAAATGATCAAAAATGATAGAGTAATCAATATTTTATATATTGAAAAAGTAACATTTTTACAACATTAAAAAAAATACTTAGAATTAATATTTAGTATATGCAGAAGGTATATTATTTACAATATTTACAAAAATCAATATTTACAAATCAAGGGTTCTTATAGGAACATCGAATATAGAAAAACTTGCGAAGAATTATTATTGAGAATAAGTGCTTACATAGATACATAAATGTTAAGTATTATGCATTTGCTCACGTCTGGCCAAAAGACCTGTTTCTCGTGGCGATCATTTGGGATCGTGTCGGTAAATACATTACACAAATTAGGCCCGAACCCGAATTATAACTGCAAGCAGGCGAAGCTTTCCCTTATTGAAGTCCATGAAAACTTATTGACAGGCCGACGCAATTACAATTACCCAAAGAGCTGGCCGAGCCCGTTGGCGAGCACGCACCGAGAAGCTGGACGAAGAGGCAATTCAGATTTGTTGTTTCTCTTGGGTTTGGGTAGCTCATTAAACTGCATTTAACGAGTGAGGCAACGTGCTGGCAATTGCCAGTTGCCGGTTGGTAATTGACAATGACTTCGATTTATGAACGCTAAAGTGAAGCTCAGCAAAAAAACAAAAATATAAGGGTGGCCCACGAAGCACAAACTGGGCTAATGAAAGCGTTAATTCAGCCTGACTGAAGCGATGGCAGAGATATGAATATCAGAGTCCACATATGTACATACATATGTATGTGAGCCTGGTTTGAGATGTGGATGTGAATGTGGATATCGAGGACTGTCTGCTATTTGTTTTAAATCATTTGGCCAAATGCCAGGCATATTTCATGCTCGAATATGGTGCATACGCCTCCATGTGCCACGTAACTCACGGCCAGTGCCAAGTTTCGTTTCGTTTCGTTWTGGGGCCATGTCTGCTGCGCGAGGAATTTGAATTTGAACGCCAGACATTTGGGCGTTGCACGGTTGTAAATTCATTTGTTAAACGATGCGCTCATAAAATTTGCGCCCTTTTTACGGTGCTGGCAGACGGGCGGCTCTCGGCTCTCGGCACTCGGCTCTTGGCCGCGACCTCGATCTCCACTGGACTCTGCGCTCTGTGCTCTGTGCTCTGTGCTCTGCAGCTTAGGAGCTTGAGAGCTTGCCAGCAATTGCCCAGGACACCAAGGGGCGTGTCTCGCAATCGACTCTCAAGTCCAACTCTGTCAGCTCTTGGCAGTGCCATTCGCTCTGGCCATTCTGCCCAACCTCCGCTCCTCCAACCCGGAGGCACTGAAAGTTCAACAGCAGCGCGATTTATTTGCCAGCCGCAGACGGCGCCAGCTGAGCCCCTTTAGTCCGGTAGGGGCTTACGCTTACCACAAAAACTCAACGCTAATTATATGTTTTGCACTCTCAAACACACACACATACTCATGCATGTATATATACATCAAATGCAAATTGTGCTGAGCTAAAAGAAATTTCAGCTAATTTGCCAAGCATTTAAATACAAACAGCGCTTAGCCGTGCATGTGGTTGCCCCATAAGGTTGATGTTGTTCTTACGGTTGCTGTTGCTGTTAATCCACATTCACTGACCGATCGCAGCTGCCTCACATCCACATCTACATCCACATCCAAAGCAACAGCAACAGCATCTGAGCGTGTTAATTCGACATGTTTTTCGCCAAAAACCATTTAGGGCCAAGTATTTGCACTGCGTGCGGCTGCTGCTGCTGCTGCTGCTGCATCCTTATGTGAAGCTTATGTGGATTTCATGGAATAAAAACGCGCGTAAAAAACGTCAAATTGCAACACCTCGAGGGCAAAAACAGCGCACAGCTAAAGCCACAGTCAGAGCCTCAGTCAGAGCTAAGCTCAAGCCGAATGTCCAGAACCAGAACAGAGGCAGCAGCAGCAGCAGGAGCAGCAGGCAGGGTCYGTCTGCAGGCAGAGCTGAACTGACTGGACAGTCCATAAGTCAGGGGCAGTGCACGTTTCTCTTGCCCTGCGCCTGGCCCTGTCTGCCCTCATAATAATTGCGTATCTGGCAGATGCAATTTATCCGTGAATTTGTTTTTAATTTTCAACACATTCGCTAATTTGATTTTTAACTTCGTTTCGAACACTGCCTCGGTCTCAATCACAGGCAGCCCGTCCAAATTGCTACACCTAATCGTGGACGTGGATGCTGCTGGGATGCTGCGCTGCCACATTGCGATGCTGTTCGCCTGTGAACGGCGTCCAACACCCGCTTTCATTTATAATTTTCTGCAACTCACTTTGACCAGAGCTGAGCTCTGCAGTGCACGGCCATTGCAGCCAGTTCCCAAGTGCCCAGCCGAGCCGCTCCGAGTCTGGCTGAGCCTCAGCCTGAGCCTGAGCTTTGTATCTTTTTTAGCTCTCGGCCAAGTTGGCATTGGCTGGCTGCACGGGGCGCTGCTTGTTAGTCGCGTAATTTATGTTCCAGCAGATACTCGTTGGCGTTGGCTTGAACCATTTCGCCGTCGTGCCTCAGCGCCTGTCTCTGTCCCTGTTCCCCGTTCCCCACTCCCCGTCCGCCTGTCCAGCGTCTGTGTCCCTTTTGGTGTCTTTGCTTATTTTCTTATCCGTTCTTATCCAGGGGCCGCGTTGTTTGCGCAGGCGCAACCCAAACAAATCGATTTTCAACGCAATGCGACGTCCCTCGTTACCCATTCCCGCTCCCGATGCAGTTGCCATTCTTCATGCCTGGCTGTCTGACTGGGCTGGCCGGGCAGGCTGGCTCTCGGTCTCGGCCTGTGCAAATGCACAGTGAGCGTGAAAGGATTAGCGATTATTAGTGGCAAAGACAAAACTGTGGCATATGCGAAATTGGGCAACTCCACTTAAAAGCCAGCTAAATTTTCAGTACTAGATCTAATCTAATATGATCTGATCTGATCAGCTTCTATGTGCACTTTATCTCTATGTGGAGTATTATTTCGCTTAGCCACAAAGCATCTCCATCACTCGGTATTCGCAGTGGCCAACTGGCTAAGCTACCAGCCAACTATAATCCACACCTTGGCTTTATTGCCAATAATTTTTAGCATCGGCCGCAAGAACACGAACCGGAAACATAACAAATCATAAATTAAACCCTCGTTAAGCGAACTTATTGCACTTGCGGCCCATGCCGGGCGTCTCGCCCATGCGCCAGAGCCATGGAACCGGACCAACTCCAGGCCGACCAGGCCAACTCGGCCCTGGCAGCATTTGCCGCTTTTTTTTATGCCTTATGCCTTTCAATGCGTTGCTGTGAGTTTTATTTTATGTTACTACTTGTTTAAATTATATTGCGCTATTAAGCGAATTTAATGAAAACGCTGCAAGGCGAGCGTGCGAAAGGCTGAAACCCAAAAGCATAAGAAAGACAGAGAGAGGGAGAGGGAGAGTGGCGGCTCACCTGTGCTAGAATGAGACGGGCGTTTTATGGCGGACAGGGTAGGTGTAAAATAAAATAAAATTTCAGCAAATCAAGCTGCTGAACGAGGGCTGGGGAGGGGGCGGTCAATTGTTTAACCAAAACGAAGAGAAGAAGAAGGAGAAGAAAAAGAAAAGGGAGCTCTAGAGTGGAATTCGGTGAGTGGCACGGATCAGTGAGACCCGCTGCATGCCCCATGCGGAATGCCGCATACCGCACAAATTGCGCTTAATCCATTGGCATTTCATTATTAAGCAATTTTCTGGGCTCGCCGCGAAAATCAAAAACTTTTGCTGGCCAATTTAAATTTTTATGCAATTTGTACAAAAATGCTGTTACTTTTGTGCAAAAGCAGCATAATTATTTCCGAGAACAGGCTCTGCCAAAAAATAAATAAAATAAAAATAAGAAGAGAAGAGAAGAGACAAAAACCAAAACATGTCAACCAAAATCATTGCAGACGACACATTATCCTCACGGCGAAATGATGCTAATCCATCACAGACCCACGTCCCGCAAAATGTCACTTAAGCATGCGAGCTGAGGGCTGAGAGCTGAGCGCTGAGAGCGGTCAGTGAATCGATTCTCCAAGGGATATCATTTAAAAGGCGAATTTGTGTTCGCGGCGAGCCGGACAAGCTGATATCCCATTGTACTCTGCCTTGTATGGAGCGTTAACCAAGTGCGATCGACGATCAGTTATGAGATTTGAACAAAAGAACTTAACTGTAAACGAGGGCACAGATCAGACAGAGCGAACAGAGTAAACGAAGCGAGCCCAGATAAGAGGCTGGAGCCCTAGCACGACGCAAAGTCTGGCAAAACGTGAACGCTGATCGCTGAATACTGAATCGATCTCGTACTCGATCGGTGAATTATGCGCGACATCATTTTAAATCGTTGTAGCGACGTCAAAGCTAAACACCGATCAGGTCAGCAAAAACAAAATCGCAATGCCCATTGTCTGCTGAGTTGGCAGTCGTCGGGCTACCGCCCTAATTGATGCAGCACGGCCATAAATTGTGATCTGGCTCAACGATCGTTGAGCGGAGCATCGCTGCTCGTTCCGACTTCACCCAGATCGACGTGTTGGCCTTTAATGCGAACTGCCCAAAGAACGCCCAAATATTGCCATGAATACATCAGACATCAGACAACAGACATCGGGACATCGGGCATCAGACATCAGTCTCAGGATTCGCCCCAGCATTTACCCTTTATTAAGTACAATGTTTTACTTGCTTTACTTGACTGCCCATATGCCCAGAGAGAACTCGACGCCGCGCGGTGCAAAGTAGCCAAGGATCACGTCCAGCCGTCCAAACAGAAGCTGTTGTTCCTTGATCACCAGGGGGTCGTCCTTCAGAAATAGGATTGTTTGCATCATGTACGTCCTGGGCGCGTTTGGCGCAATCGAGAACAGCTTCTGCAGCTGGCCCTTGGCATTTCTAGCGGATATGTCAAAGTAGAGCACGCACCCAGACATCTTTCCACTTTGCTTGGACTTCATTTTGATCTCGGCTCTCTGGCATTCAATGTCATCTTGAATCGAACTGAGGTCCACAGATAGCACCAGGCACTTCTCTGTCATCAACGATTTCTGATTCACATAGTCGTCCCACAATAGCACGTTTTTCTCAACGGCCAGCTCTCGATCTAGGGATATGCCCTGTATATAAAGATTGGCCGCACTGGGAAAGATTAGGCCATTCTTCACCAGCCACTTATCACGCGCGTATAGCACCTGGCAGAATAGGGAGTCCGCAAATAGGGCATGCCTTCAATAGATAATAACTGAAACAACTGTAATTGATATCTATAAGACAAGAATTCCTACCCCATCCACTCGGAGACTATTATATCCACTTTCCTCAGTCCACAGGGCAATACGACCTGGGTAATGCAGCCAGTCAGCGGCTCAAAAACCTCCGCCTTCTCTCCATTCTCCAAGACTTTCGAAATACCTTTGGCACTTTGCATGTTGCCAATGGCAAAGACCTTCACAGCACCGGCCTCAACAGCCAAGATGCTCAGCAGGCCACTACGACAGCCCACATCCAGCACAATCTGAGGAAATTTTTTATGAGAACTGTTTTCTCTCAAAAGACTTTAAAAGACCTTATCCTTGAATAGCATTTGATTCTGCTGGAAAAACTGGTTGTAGACATTGGACACGAGCACATCCGATAGCATGGCTTCTTGAATATTCCAAGAGTCCTCCATTGTCCTCTGCAGAAGTTCTATTTATTACTAGAGTATTACGACTTAACAGCAAACATAATTTTAATTCGTAAGCAACACAGGGTGATTCATCAAATTGCTAGAGTTGGGAGTAAAACAAAATATGCGCTACTTGTCACGAGCTATCGGTACACACACAAGCTCGTAAATAATAAATAATAAATTTTATAGATGT